GGGTAAATTTAATCTTGCCATAAAGCGTACGATGAAGGGTTAACTGGAACAAGCTTAACAGAATATAGTAACTAATTTCTCCTGGTTTGCTATAGCATAAAGTTACCTAAACAGACTTATTCCACTTTAATTTTAGTTTGGATAGCGTACCTTGTCTCAAAAGGATATTTAAAGCATTATGTGTTGTCTGGAATAAAATTTATTGACATTCATTGATAAAACTTCCGTAGTGGTCGTGAAATCATTGTCATTTTCTGAGCCAACCTATACTTTTACGGTAGAATAGGCTAAAATATCCTTGCCGATAAGCATATACGAGAACGCACGATCTGTCTGACTCGATCAGCTGTTCCTGTTGGTCTTTAGCAACCTTATTATTACTTGATTGGGTCGTTCAATATATAGCATATATAATAACAATTATTCGGTAAATGCACTCGATTATTGGATGAACTGAAGTATACGAAAATAGGCCAGAAACAAAATTACTTTCCTGTAGCGGGACAACTTACTCTATAATATGCTCCTCCTCTGCTTGCCTGAGCTTAATTTCCACTGCTTTGATAAATTGCAGCGTAGAGCTGTGTGAAGGGGTTGCTAAAAATGGAAATTTGAAGATAAGAATGTTAAGGAATTTTGTGTATCCATCTTAATAGAATGCATCTTGATCTTAAAAATCCATGGAAAATTACATTTTTATATAATTCCTGGGGCTAACGAATAAAATTTGCCCTTTATTATACTTAAGATGAATAATTGATACTTTTAGGGATACAAGTTATGAAGAAACAATAATTTTTACTGGGTAATGTTCACTATTAAAAGAAGGGCTTTCTTTATCTAAACAATTATTTACACTTCACTCCTTAGAAATTTTTAGCGCAGAAAACTAATTTTCCTCACTAATTAATTATGAATAAGTGATACATCACCGAAAATATGTCTTACTCTAGATAGCCTATTTGCTAGTAAGGCTACAAAATTAATGCGTAAGAAAAGAGGCCCAAAATGTCTTAAAAGTCTTGCACTAAGGCTAACTCTGTATCGATTGATATATATTTTATATTAATTTAACAAGCTAGCTTAATATAATATAAATTAGAAAATGATAGCACCATGTTGTTCTTCATAGATTCGTAAAAAAACCGTTTGTGCCGATTAGTAAGAAATAAAAGGATTAAAATAGACAAATATATAAAATGAAGCAAAAAAAAATTTAGATCATAAACTAGGTCGTTAATAGCATTACTTTAAGGAGATAGTAAAAAATGGCAAAGAAATTTCAGTAATGATAAGATAAGACTATAACATAAAGCAAAAGCAATCACAAATCGAGAAGTAATAAGCATGTTTTGAATTTAAAAGAATGTAAGAAAGTAATATTTTAAGAAAATATGCAAAAAATAAAGAATCTAAGTATCATTACAATCTTATTTATATAAAATAAGTATAAAATAAAATTTTATTGAAATTTAAGGTTTTAATGGAAAGATAAATATTGATAATAAAGAGACTAGTATGAGCACTACTATAAAATGCCTTAAAAGTTCATTTAAGGAAGTGTTCAAGAGAAACAGAAAATTCTTATAGAAAAAGAAGATGGAATAAGTTAAAGACAAAATGAGATCCAAGCTATCAATGATATTCCCTCAAGAATAATTAGAGTAAGATGTGACTCACCAATTCGGACAAATTTAAAACTCACTTATAATTAAGTAGTTAATTTTGACTTATGATACAAATGCTAAATTGTGTAATTCGGTTATAGAATACTTAATAATTCAACGATAGATTATCCCTCTTTCTTTAAAGTAAACTATTTTCTATAAATTAATAAGTGCTTCCTTGATTTGTCTTGATCATATTTTCATATATTACAAAAGGTGGCAAATGTGAATATTTGATTACATTAACAAAATTGAGAGCAAATATTATCTAATAATAGCTACCTTCAACAATAACAGATGAGCTGGAAGTGATTGTCTTCGAGAGTCGTCTCCCTGTCTTTGGTTCAACCACATCTACTGAAGCCACGCAGGTGTATTGACCCGAGTCAGGTTGGCTGGCTTTTCGGATCACAAGTCGAGCAACTCCAGTGTCCTCGAGGAAAGTCATCTCTACACGATCAGACTGCACCAATTCTCGATCACCTAGCATCCAGGTCACCTGGATGGGTTGAATATCTGTCAGAATCTGAGCTTCTAGTCTATAAATGTTAGGACAGGAAGTGGAAGATGCTATCAATAGAAATCCGGTCATTATCATATTAAAATATTTATCATCTATGCAAGAGAATATGTAGCAATTCTATGCTACATTATGATTGATGCACTTACTCGAGGATCTGCTCTTGTGCTGTTTTCAGGTTCACTTCGACCGGCCTGATGAATAATATATCCGCTTTGTAGATCTGGGTGGCTAGGTTGATTGAAGAAAAAATATTTGTAAGAGGATTAATTGTAAAATGGTCATTTCATTAATACTAAGTAATTTGCCATTATGATACGTTAATTAAAGAGTTTTATCATTAAGGCTTATACAAACCGTCAAAGAAAATAATTACTGTAAATTAACTTCTCTGAACGGGATGGGTTGCTAAAGATTAAAATAAAAATGTACAGGAATAAATTAGTTAAAGTTTTCCTTTGCATAATTTTCTTATTAAAAATAGCAATAACAAATTAATCTAAGGTATGAGGAACAGGATGGTGTGCCTCTTGTATGGCCGTGGTCTCTTCTCGTTGTAAAGAAGTTGTTTAAATTGTCTTAGAAACTTGGACAAATTGGCAGGAAGACCAAGAGAAATGGACCTTGTCCGGAGTCCATAGTAAGCTTGATAATTTCCAGATTCGCACCTCGGACATGATACATTCCCAGACATTTCAGCGGCATCGTAGTCGGCATCATCAGTAAGCCTTGACATTCATAGCAGCCCATTAGAGCATTTTGACAGTAATTTCACCGAAACAAATTTTAAGAAGACCTTAGTAAGTAGAAAAAATTAACGGTATAATACAGGCCAAGATAGTTAAAGGAAAATTTTCTGAATAAATGTTTACGAGAATACGTAAAAATTGACAATTCTGTCTAAATTTGATAAATAAAAGCGACTGGTAATTGGGTGAATATTTACATTCAAATATTCACTATTACGATCGGAAAAGTTAAACCAGCCTTAAGTCGTCAATTTGTAAGCAAGGGGGAAAATGTGTTGATCCAGATAGAGCTAATTCAATGTCCTGGTTTGTGGCCCATAACCAAGATGCTTATTTATCAAATGCCCAAATCGAGAAA